TATCAAGAAAGTATCTGTTGTAGGTGTTGGTCTAGTTGCGGGGCTTGTATTATGTTACATCCACATATATGATCCTATACATCTGTTTCAATTGGATTTTGAATTATTGTAATTATAGAAATTTTATAAAATTTCTATAATAAAATAATTGGTGCTTTTTTAATAGAAATATTTTATGTTCCATTGGAAGGACAGTACAATTGTTACTTCAATTTGAATTACTCTTCTACAATAATTTATATCTTTTTTTAAAATCATTATTTCAAAAAAATGAATTTAGAAACGTTTTGGATGTATCTGCTTTCTTTTTCAGTGCATTTTAGTAATAAATTATATAAGAGAACAAAAGGGCAATTGTATGTTTCTTTTTTTCTTTTATCATTCTTTATTACTGATATCGAAGAAGATAAACTTTAAATCGTCTCGTCTAGTATTATTGTCTTGTTTCTGCTTCCATATCAATAGTAAAGAGTGATAAAGAAAGAAAAAGAAAAATACAATTGTTGTTATGTTCTCTTATATAACTTATTGTTAAAATGTACTGCAGAAAAAAGCAGATACTTTTCAAACGTTAGTAAATAAGTTAACTTTTTTAAAATAATAATAATAATAAAATTATACAAATTATTGTGGAACAGTAATTCAAGTTGAAATAAATATATTACATAAAAACTTAATAATAATAAATATATATGTTTGTAGTAAAAAAAAAATAATACAATTATATTTAAATAATTTATTTTTTTTTTTTAAATTTTTAAAGTGCCTGTTTCGAATTTACAAATCACAGTTTTATTCGAACTTGAGTTCGACATCGACTTCTACTATCAATATAAAGTGTAGTAGAAACGTCTATATACACATGAATGTCGTTCAATATAAGTAGAAAATGTAATTTGTAAGAAGTAAGTTGACTGCCTCATAATTATAAGTTCCTTCGAACAAATCTACACTACGACAAAAACAAAACAAGCAAAAACGCGTTTCTGGATCTAATACGTGTCATTGACATAAAAACGCGTTGTAATCCATTTTTTTTTCTTCCGTGGAAATGCATTAAAACGCTCTTCGTTTAAAGTAAAGGAAAAGGGCTCTGTTAAAACGCGGTTTTTCGAACATTTTTGACTGCACGAAATGCGTTAAATAAAAGAAAAAAGGAAACTGTTTTAAAGCGTCAATTTCATTTTTTTTTGACTACTTGGGTAGTTAGCAATGTTGTGACGAGAAAAATAAATTTGTCAATATGCATTCGCTCATGTCATATTAGAAAATGAAATCAAATTTCCTCAAAATGCTTTTCAAGCTTGAGAAATAATACTATATAAAAGTCCCTCGTTTTTTTGCCTGTGCATAATTATACGAATTTTATAATATATCCTTTGCTAGCCTACAACAACAACTTTTCTGATTTCAGTTAAAAGTTACATAAAAATATAGAAGAACTGCTTTTCCACATTCCTATGTAAAAAAGTTGGAAAATATCTATATTGGAATGCAGGATGATATTTTGTTTATCAAGCCAAAATAGCTTGTAAATATCGCATCTGTTCTTTTTTTTTTTGGATTAGAAACATTGAGAAGAACGTAATCGTGTCCCTTGGTTAAAGAATTTACAAAGAAAACATTTCTTATTTCAAAATGAGATCCTTCCGAGATTCGAATGTTATTCCATTACAAAGATACATATCTTTACTAAGAAAGAGTTAATTCTTTTCAGTAAGATTCCATAGAAGCCGTCTCAATTCTTCTATTTTTAGGCTGTGGATGGGACAGTAAATTATTATCTTATTCACTCAAATTGGCAACAACACTCGCACAGATACTTCATCCGTAAGAGTTCTAGATAGTAATCTTGTCGAATATTTTAGTGGAATCAGCTGATGGAAAACTTTTTGAACGACAAATGCTGCAAAGATTAGAATATCTAAGCAACTGAAATGTAGATACCATACGATAATTTTATCTATAGCTTTCTTCTATTGAATTCGACTGACAATGATCAGTGTGTATAATCAGAATTTATAGTATTTTAGTTGTGATCATTAGCCTAAAGCAAATCAGTCGAAGTATAATCCATTTTTACCGTTGTTAGGAAGTTTTTTCCACTCATGTAATGTTACGACGAATACATGAGGTATTTTTCTATATAATTCGAGATTCAAGCACATAAAATCAGTAATAAAATCATTTTAAAAGTATTTTTCCAAAATTTAGTAATTACTAAACGACATGAATATATTGTCTCTCGAATGCTGGCTTCCCAGTCAAAAGAATAATGGGAAAATGGTCATTAAAATGCATTATTTTCCGTAGCTAGACCATTTTAAACATCAAAGTGCACTTTTAAAGGTGAGTAATGCTAAAATGGCCATTAAAATGCATATCGATTCATTATTAAATAATTTCGAGCATTTTATGATCACAAAGTCTATTTTTTCGGAATTTCGTGCTGATTGAAATATCTTTATAATTTCTAAAAATTATATGATTTTTTGGAGTTTGCTTATCAACCATTCATATTTTCCATAACATTCAAGAATATAGTTCGAAACTCACACTAGAAGTCAATANCACGCACACCCACACCCACACCCACACCCACACCCACACCCACACCCACACCCACACCCACACCCACACCCACACCCACACCCACACCCACACCCACACCCACACCCACACCCTTCATTATTCAGATTATTCGAGAAGAATATAAAATCAGTTTTCATTCATTGGTTGATTACAACTTGTGAATTCTTATCGTCAAATGAAATCAAGCAGAATAATCTTTTTTTTCCATTTTATGACTTATTGTTGTGTATATTACTCTGCAACACAATGTGCACGGTGCACTGTGGGTATGGATTCATGCCCATGATCATGAATACCTACGCCGTTCAGAAATAAATCGCATTGCCGAATTTAAGATAGTAGGGTGTGGGCGTGAGTGGGTGTGGGGTGCGTGTGAATGTGGGTGTGTGGATGTGGGTGTGTGGATGTGGGTGTGAGTGGGTGTGGGTGTGCAAGTATGGGTGGGTGTGGGTCTGTGGGTATGGGTGTGTCTGTGACATTAACTACTTCAACACCCACATACCAAACCCACCCACACCCACACAGCCACCCACACACCCACCCACACACCCACCAACACTCATACCCTACACTCACACCCAAGCCCGCACCCACACCCACATCCCACACCCACACCCACACCCACACCCAAACCCACGCCCACACCCACACACCCACACCCATACCCACACCCACACCCATACCCATACCCACACCCACACCCACCTTACACCCTCATTCGATAGATATGGTAATCTCTATGTTACCGATTCCAACAATGATCGGATGTGGATGTTGGTGTGGGTGTATGAATGGGGATATTCTTTTGTCTGTGCACCCACACTCGCATCTAACCACATCCACATCTCATACTTACAACCACACCATAGGTCTCCTTTGGAGGATGTGGGTGTGTGAGTGCGCTGTGGGCCGTCTTTTAACCTTCATCAACACCCACGACCATACTGACACGTACGTGCATACTGGCATCCACACTCATACCTGCACTCTACATATACGCTCACATACTCGCCAGCCGCTCCCCAACCATGCATATCCATGCCCTTTTTTTAGGCAAAATGTAGGAAAGAAAAGGAAACTCAACTGAAATATAGAACAAAATATAGGATCGGCCAAGATGTAGAATTTATGGGAAATATTGAACGAATCTGATCCTAGACTGGAACGAATAAGAAGCCGACTTATCCCACCTCGAATGGACTTTAAAAAGTGTTTTTTAATCGATACCGCCTCCGTCTTATCGACATCCTAGATTCGTCACTAAATTGACTTCTTCTTAACCTCCTGAATCCCGAGAATTCTTGCGTTCTATTCGAAGCTAGAGAAAAATAAAAAAATCACTTTCTTTTGCGTTCTGTCGCTCTCAATCAGCTGTATATATGTTCTGTATTTTATCACTTATGTCGCATGGATTTGTACTATCGTCTTGATATTATGTCTGTACTATTATAATGCGAAAGAAACAGAATGTTTCGAAAAAAAAAACGAATTTTATGACATAGAAAGAATAGTTTTGTATGTTCACAACGTCTTATATTCAAAATGAATAAGAAGAATGTTTTTGATGATGAAAGCGATAGTGAAGATGAGGGAAAAGTTATGCTGAATCTGCCTGATTCAGATGTCGATGAGATTGAAGATCAATTGAACAGCATTGGTTTGAAGTATGAGAGTGAAGAATATAGGTGATAAACAAACGTTGATGAATATACAAATAATAAATCAAATTTATGCTCTAGTGATGATGATGATGTATATCTTCCTCATGAGATGAACAAAATGATGGTCAATCAAAGTAAAAATTATGAAAGTGAAGAGTATAGGTAAAGATAAATCCATTTTCATTCAAATCAGAGACATATTATGATTATGTAGTGATGATGATCGTATATATATAGGAGTGCCGAAAGAGTTGGTTCAAAAAAAATTGAAAGCACCTGGTTCTTGTTTTATGAGAAGTGGAGAACTACTGATGATTAAATTTCTAGACAAAAAAGCTACTGGTGATAAAGAAATCTATGTGGTGGACTCGAAAGGTACAGCTGGTATCTTGCAAGTTGAAAGGTTCGAAAAAGGTACTCTAATTGCTTTGCTGTTGATCACACTCTGAAATTATTTATAGGTGGTGTGAAAAAATTCGTTTCTAAACCTTCATCGATTATTGATTACAATCGAAATATGGGAGGAGTGGATCTAAGCGATAGTTCGCTTCATCACGCACGTATAGATCGACAATCATATCGGTGGTTTGTGAAACTGGGCATTCACTTTCTCGGTCGACTTCTCTTCAATGCTTTTGTCATGTATCGAATGTATAATTCCAAAGCTCGGTTCTCGAAATTTCTCATGTGGTAAGAAATTTTCCGAGTTCTATTGCTTATCTTTTTGATAGTTTCGTTCGAGATACTATGGAATCAACAGGAATTACTAGAAAATCTTTGAATGAATTTACACCACCTCAAAAACGTATTACATCTGTGTCAAACAATAATATACCTCAAAAACTCATGAAAGTTCAACATTTCTCAAGTAAGCTTGAAGTTCGTTTGTAATGAATCTGTGTTCTTATTTTTGAATTTAGGCAAGACAGATTATAATGAAAATAGACAGGGTCATGTTCAACAACGCTGTGTATTATGTCGTTCGAAACAAGTTCGAAAACAAACTATCTATTTTTGTCGGACATGTCCTGATAAACCTGCTTTGTGTTATCCAGACTGTTTTGATGCATTTCATAGTAAAATATAGTATGAACTATAACATGATCTAAAAAAGAGGAGCATAATATTGAATAATTATTGAACTAAATTTAGCTGATATTTTCTTCTTAGTTAGAAGAAAATAATCAGTAATCACCATCGGTTGAATAAACGATCCTCTATCCATTTTCTGCTTTTTAAACATATGTTCAACGATACGACAGAACGAAAAAAATATTCTTTCGTTCTGTTTGTCTTCAGCCTGAAGACAGCGGTCCCCAGGAGGTTAATCAACATGATAAATCAGATTCATATGATATTGGTTCTTTAAAAAGTATTCATTCAGTTGAAACATTAATTGATGATTCTCAAATGACACAAAATCGTTCAAGTATTGATGAAAAAGAAAGATCTTTTATTGATTCAACATCCAATGATGATCGAAATGAACCAATAACATGTAATTAATGTTCTTCATTAAGAATAAATCATCTTTTTATCATTTTCTAGTAATAAAGGCAATTCAATCAATGATGGACAATTTTAATCTTGATTTTAATAAACGTTTTGAAAATTTGGATGAAAAATTCCAAAGGAAGTTTGATTAGTTAGCACAAAAATTAGATAACATTTACGAATCAAATGCTATTACATCAATAATGAATAAGATTCGTGCAGATCACAATTTAGAAATACCATTCTTACCAACAAATCGGATATTTTATTCAAGTTATTCGGCGAAGAGCAAAATGTTATTTAGTGATTTCGAATGATATCTTATTGAAAATTATAAAGATCGATGGACAAAACAATACAATCCAATTTTAGTATCGATGAAACCTCAACAACTTGAATTCGATATACTCGGTTTTGCATTCGAACATACAAAAGAAAAACGTCGTATTATTGAATCACCTAATATTGAACCAGCTAATACGACTTCATCATGTAATTATCTTGGATCGTTCAAAGCCAATACCATTATTTGTGGGGAAGTGACAACATCAACTCTCACTTTCAACAACAATGATTTCTTATTACTTGAAATGGTAGTTTAATATCATTTTGTTTTTCAGCATTTCTAAATATCTTTCTATTACTGTTTAATATAGAATATTTCTTCGAATTCATCTAATCCACAAACAACACAAGCAACATTCAAACTTTTAAATAAACTTATTCAACTTGAACATTGTATGGCTTTTATTCTAAAATATTACAAAAATATAACACTTGAACAGATAATAGCTGTTTTATTTGGTCGGTTTGTCGATGCCCATCGTCATCGAACACCTGAACAATTCTATGACATGGTATTTACGTCTGCTTTCTCGTCAAAAGTTCCTCTATTATATAAATTATATTTACGTGATCGTGATGATAAAATAAAACAAATATATTTCATATGTTAATATGAACGTTTGAAATGTCTTCCTTTCTTACAGACAAAATAAATCGAGAGAAAAGTTGACATAGAGTGTTACAAAGGAGAAAAAGCGGATTGTGGTGGATGCTGGATTCCGCTAAGATCCTTAGTATTCGTCAGGATCCACTAGTTTCTTTTTTTATCTGATTATTCTTTATTTTATGTAGAGGAGAATTAAATAATATTAATGAAGATTAAGCAAAAATATGTGATGTAACAAGAATGATATTACACTAGATGATCATCGTTCAACAGTAAGGATCATTGTTTTTTTTTTATTTTGATTATTTTTGAAATTATTGAATAGGTATGAAAAGTCTGTTGGGATCAGGGCTGCCAACTGTACCCCATTTTGGGGTACAATACCCCATTTCGTCATTTTGTACCCCAGGAAATTTTGTACCCTTGGGGTACACTTTTTGTACCCCATTTAGATATTTGAGCTTTTANAAATGATAACAAAAAAAAAAGTGTTATCAAAAATTTATTATCATATTATTATTTGAAGTATGATCAAATAGCATAGCAAAATAGAGCACTCTTTTCTCTATTAGACTACATAGAAAGAAAGTTTTTTTTAAGCTTACTATATGGCTATGTAACGTCGTGATCAGAACTTTTGGTACACCCTAAGTATTTATAGAATAATGTGATCTTTAAGTCACTATCAATTCCTACGTAATAGTATCGATTATCAATTATAAATAATACCAGTTGAATAGATTATATTTATTGAAGTATTATATTTACTTTGAATATCCTATCAAATTAAATTTTATTTCGTTAGATTCAAGAATTAACAAATAAACAACGTCATATTGATCGTGATCATGCTGATAAAATTCAACGTTACGAAAATGAATTAAAATCTGTTCATCTTCGTTGTGAATCAAGTATTGATTTTTTACATAAAGAAAATGATATATTAAAAAATAAATCAACCAAAACAATAGATGATTTAGAAAACAAATTATCAAAAATAACAGAACATTTTCATAATGTTGAAAAATCATTTGAACAAAAATTAAATGAACAACAAATAATCTATCATAATAATATAAAACAATATGAAAATGATTATGAAAAAAGACTTCAAATATTAAAACAAGAATTAAAAGAACAAAATAATAAATCTCTTTTATCTATTCAACATAATCAACAAATACAAAATGAATTACGACAACAAAAACATCAAATTAAAATTGATTTAGAAAATCAAGCAAGTTTATGTTTTCAAGAAAATATTATCTGTTTACATTGGTTTTGTTTTATTTTGTTTTTTCTTTTAGATTCAAGAAATTAATAATAAAACACGTGAAAATGAACAAATATTAATCAATAAATTAAAACATGAATATGAACAAGCGAATCAACAGTTTGTTTTTATATTAATAAAAAATATATAATAAAAATTTTTTTTCTTGTTTTTTTTTCTCTTTTATAATTTAGAGATCAAGAAAAATTACGTGAAAATTTTAATAAAGAAATTGATGAAATCAAACGTAAATATGAACAAATAATAGAAAGAAAAGATGAAAAAATAAAGAATGATTTACAAAAATTTAATCAATTATCCGTTGAAACAAAACATACACATGAAATTGAAAAACAACAGGTTTGTTTATATGAAGAAAAATATCAAAAACTTTGTCTTATCAAAAAAACAAAAATTTGACATGTAATATTTGAGAATTTAGGAAACAATCTCATTCCGGCTATTATTAGTTAATAATCAGAGTCTACAAATATAACACTTCAAGACTCGATGAATTTTATGGATCATTCATGTGATAAAAATTCTGATTCATTGATGACTTCCTACGATTCATCATTTAATGGTCTATTCAAACACTTTCTGATAGTCGTATTGACTATCGACTATCATCAATTTGATATGTAATAAATCTCATCTACATAATCATAACGATCAGAACCTACGGCGTAGTATCAAGATTAGGAGGGTGTATCATAAAAGTGTCTCATAGACATGATAAAATATTCAAAAAGTCTTGCTATTTTTATTGGATAATAATGAGTAATTATCAATTAATAGGGATAATATTCAATTCCTTCGTTTTCACACCTTCTGATAACGATCATAAAATTTTACAACCTATATTATCAGAATAAAAGAAAATATTGTATGATATTTGTCACATGCAATACTTATCAACTACAATATTGTATTAAGAATAAACTTGTCGAGAAATATTCTCTACAAAAACTTCGATAGGAATTCAAAATATAAATCCCACTAACTGTATTGTTTAGTTTTTCATTGAAGATAATGAACTTGATGTTGCGTCTTTTCTTAAAAAAAAAATACTTTGATTTTTATTGATTCACAGAGATGAGAAAAATATTTCTTTTTTCATCATCCTTGAAGATAAGACAACTATGCCTTACATGTAACATCATACTGTACAATTTTGTATAGCTTCTGTAGTAAAATGAGACGATTCGCATGTAAAAAAAATAAAGCAAAGGCATTGTCTTCGTTTGTTTTATATTGACTGAAATGAATTCATTAACACATATTTAATATAAATGTTCAGAATGTAACAAACTACTATCTAATTCTAAAAATATATTTCTAGTCATACTGTTTAGGAAATAGTTACTTTCAATATTTGAAAATAAAATGCTTTACTTAATCATTTAGCCATTCTTTTTCTCACGGCATCATCAGTGAATTATGATTGATCGGCTAAACTTTGGTGATTTTCACGATATAGATAGTAATAACAGCTCTAATTCAGTACAGTCACGTGAGTGAAATTTGTAATGATTTGTTTTTTAACAGTATCACAGCAGTAGTAACTTTGTTTTACAGTTCATTGCGGCACGGTATCGACTTCTGAGTTTATAATTTAGGCAATCTGAAAGAATAGTTAAATTGGAATAATCTGAAAATTGATTGGGCTCATAGACTTTCTTTACAGAAAACCTTGTCTACAAGTAGTGTTCAAAAACTGATTTGATTTCGAAAGCAGTGAGAATAATCGGAAGTTTTTGATACATTGATAAGATAAAACTGAGACCATCTCTATATGTGCAAACAAGAACTCAAACGTCATGAATTGCTTTAGACTGTTTTCTCATAAAACTCATGATTGAGAAGACTAAGTCTTACTACTTTTAAACGATGAAGCTCTATGCTCAATTAGGGTTAAGTCGAGAGATGTTGTCGGGTAAATTTTGTTTATCCTGGCCCCGATAACTTTCTTCACTAACTCCAGCCATAGTCCTGCACATGTCTAGTTAAGTCTTATTCAGATTTTGTTTCATTAAGCTGAGCTTTACTACATTTTAACATGTCTCGTTTCCATGCTAATAGAAAATAAACATATATTCCAAACTTTTAGCCATTAAGCAAGATTCTTTTGTAAAAAACCAACATAATTGCTAAAAACTAATATTCTCTAGAAGGTTACGCGAATGAAAGACACTTCAATAATTCATCTTTTTTGTTTGATGACGATAACGATACTTCGAAATTGAGTTGTAAGCCGATCGGCTGTGCCGTCGCTGATGACCATAAAAGTTGCTGAAGATTCTAATGATTTCTTAATTTTTCGAAACTAAGAAAATATTAAACTCGTAATATTAATTAAGCAATATAATTTGTTTACAGAGTTCGATGTTAATAGTAAGCTTAAAATCTTTCAAAGCATAAAAACGATAGAATTATTTTTATCTTCACTTTTTTTTTTTTTTTTCTTTTATAAACAAAATTATTTTTCTTCTCTAAATGCTCTACCAGTTACAAGTAAAAATCTACGTCATTCATCTCTTAAACATATTTTACTAATGAAAAAAAAAAAAAAAACTTTTCATAGGTAATATTTTTAATCCTCGTCTAAAATAATAATTCACTATACTATCTCACATAGTTAATATAATTTTTTTTTCTCAACTTAGATATACAATTGATTATATATCACATAGCTTTTCAAATTTTATCATCGAAACTAATTCTTTTCTTAAAAACAAAAAATAAAAGACAAAGAACACAATATATTTTTTAACTATCACCCTTTAGAAAACTAAAAAAAAAAATAAAATTTTGCTATCAAAAGAACAATTAAATTCTTATATATTTGTTTTTCTTTTTTTTATTCATCAATAGATTATCAATGAATATGAACAATTTATTCAGAAACTTGAAAATAATTATACACAAAAAGCTGATGAATATGAAAAACGTATTGAAGTATTAATTTCTAAAACACATGAACAATTAAAAACAATGGAAGGTTTGTTTTAGATCAAAAAGAAAAAGAACAATTATTCTTTCCTATACTATTGAAAATTGTCTTTTGTAGATGAATTTGAAGTACGTCATGGTAATCAACAATTAATTATTAGTGATCAACACAAAATTATTCAAGCATATAAAGATGAAGAACATCATGCTAAAATTGTGTATGAAAAACAATGTAAAATGTTAAGTGAACAATCTATACGTGAAAAAAACGAAATTAAAACGGTATGTTGAAGTAGTTAATTCGATTTTTTATAGTAACAATGAAACTTGTGATTCTCGCTTAGGAATTACTTCGCAAATCTTCAAAAATTTTTCATTTTTCTTTCCTGTAAAATTCTATCAATTAGAAAATCGAATACACTATTGACAGATTAGTTTAGAAATTCTAATAAATTGCAAAAGAGAATTAATGCTATTTGGAAAATACATTACAGCAATTTTGCTTGAGATTAGAGTTTGATTCTTATCACCAATAAGAGAATAATCTCAAGTTAACTAAAAAAACAAAAAAGCTTTTCACACAATCCTTGTAGAATTAAAATGTGAAATACGACGTAATTGCTATTGCTAATCACACGGGGATTTTTTTACTTTATCACTTGTCAGACATATCTCTTCACCATATGTAATTCTTCAAAAATACAATAAGTAAATGAAACCCTATATTATAACTAAACGTTGTTGATATAACGTCTGGAATGATCTTTGACTAACGTCTGTCACAATCTGTGGGAAGATTTAAATTTTTACATCTATATTTCAACACTACTTTTAGATCATGTTTCACAAAAGCCGATTACGTGACTTATATATAGTTTATAACTTCCAATCAGAGATGAGGAAGACAATGTTATCAGTTAGATGTTTTTATTGTGTTCAAACATAATATTTGATAAATGAAACAAAACTTAATATTCATAGATTACATATATTTTGAAAATTTAGAAATGACTTTCGTTTCATGTAAACATATTATGAATTAATTTTCTTGACATGAGAATTAAAAACCTTGACCTACATACTTCTAATTAGAACATATATATTCTTTATAGTTGTTAGTGCAAAGTTCAAAGAAACATTGTAAGTGCCTGATTGGATTTTATTCTTGAACGAAACTCATTACGAACAAATAAGACTTCATTTCGTTGAAACATAATTCAATGAATGTTAAAGTACATTTCTTTTAAATACAATGTCATGTGCATGTAATAAACATACGATTATAACAGATTTAATAATAGCATTACTTGTTTTGATCGTAAAAATGCTTGATTATTAAATAACTATGTAATGTCAATATAAAGTGTATTCTGAAATAAATGAAATTCTTCAAACTCTATTTTGACGATCCATCTAGGGTCAGATCTATTTAAATTACATAAAATTTTCAGCTCCATACTATCACGTTGTCGGGAAATATTCAACCAAATAAGAATAAAAAATACGTCATTTGATAATTCAAAATTCTTTGTACAGCTTCATTCTGTATGCGTATTTTTTTATTTATTTAAAAGAACATGCAAGGCATGACATAGCACTTTCTTTTTTTTTAATTTTTACTTTGTTTTTTATGCAGAACAAAATTCAATATGCTTCGTCATACACGAAAAACATCATATCACTTATGAAAGATCAGCTACTGAACTATATTTCTATATATTTATCTTAATTTTGTATTTTTTGAGGAGGCGAAGATTGACCTTCAGAGTTTAAAATTATGAATATTATTCGCTAATATTTAATATAAAAATTCACACATTATATAGATTTTATCAAATTTTTTATTTTTATTTTCAGCAATTTGATATATGTATGAAAAATTTAGAAAAAAATTTCAATATATTAGCATCAAAAAAAGAACAACTTGAACGTAAATTATCATATTTAAAAGAACAACATAAACATGAAATGATAGAGTGTCGTTTATCATATGAAAATAATATCAAAGGTCTTTTATCAAATGATGTTCGTCTCGATTTAGAAAATACAATACAGTCATTAAAACAACAAGTTATTTATTTACAACAACGTACAGCTTTTCTTCAACAAGAACTTGAACAATATATAGAAATCTATGGCCATAGGCTATCATCTCAACAATAAAATTAAATATAATCTGATTTTAATTCATTTCTTTTCTTTTTTTTTTTTTTTTTTTTTGTATCTGAAAAAATTATTTTTTTTTATAGTCTCAAATTTTGAATCTTTCTAGCATCCGTCCATTTTTTCTATATATATAAACTTAATAATAAATCGGGTAGTTACAATAATTGATGTTTTTTTGTTTCTATCGGTTTCTCGATAGAGTAACCATGGTCTTATTCTATATGATGTATTTATAAGGCCAGTATTCCTTTCCTTTCCTTTTTTTTTTTTTCTTGTCTCTTATTTCTTCACATCGTCAGATGTGCATACACGAACGAACGCCTGCATTTTTCTGTTTATGAAGCGTCCCGAACAATGCTCGATGACGACATCGAAGCAGCTAAACGTAGAAATGATGTAGTATATATATATTCATCCAACATTTATTACACATAATTCAAATGAAATAAAATATGAAAAAAATAAAAAACAACAATATCTTAATATTGTTTTTTTTTTTGTTGTTGTTATTTATTCTTTTTTTTTTTATATTCAGATTGAATATTTCATTGATGGAGGTCTTTGAATCATTTTATCGAAATCCAATTCTACGTGAATATTTCAATCCAAATCAATTTCATATATCATCATGGGTACGTGATCCAGTTGGTATACATCATCCATTTGTTTTTGATTTTGAAAAAAAATTTTTCGATAAAACTTATGCCCAAAATATTTATGATTGGATGAATAAATGGTGGTGGTTAAGTATTGTTTATTCAATAATATATGTTGGTTTAATTTATTATGGTCGTTCATTAATGGAAAAACGTGAACGTTATGAATTACGATTACCATTAGTATTATGGAATATTTCATTGGCTTTATTTAGTATATTTGGTATGATACGGTGTGTACCTGAAATGATTTATGGAATAGCTAAAGAAGGTTTACAATATACTATTTGTGATCATAGTAATATTTATGGTATAACTGGATTTTGGTATGAAAAAAAAAAAAAAATTAAAATTTTAATAATATTTATTTATTGTTTTATTTTAATAGGATAACAATATTTTGTATATCAAAAGTTCCTGAACTTATTGATACATTATTCATTGTATTACGAAAACAAAAATTAATTTTTCTTCATTGGTTTCATCATGCTACTGTTTTAATTTATGCATGGTATAGGTAAGAATGCATAATATTTTTCTTTTGCCAAAACAAAAAGAAAAACAATATTAAAATTATCTTTAATAGTTATCATGATTGGACAGCTAGTGGACGATGGTTTGTGTTTATGAATTACAGTGTTCATGGTAAACATTCAATTATTTTCTTTTATATATATATACTTTTTTTTTGTAATCTTTAGCATTGATGTATTCATATTATGCATTTCGTGCTATGAAATATCGCATTCCTAAATGGATGCAGGTAACTGTTACTGTATTTCAATTATCGCAAATGGGTGTTGGATGTTTTGTTAATTATAAAGCATATATTTATAAACAAAATGGTGTCTCATGTGACGTTGCTTATGCTAATATATTCTGGTCATTTGTTATGTATGCAATTTATTTTGCTTTATTTCTTCATTTCTTTTGCGTATCATATTTATCAAAGAAACCAGCAACAAAAGATATTGCTGAGAATGAACGTAAAAAGAACAAATAAAATTTGGAATTTGATTTCAAGATTATGATCTAGGTCAAATGCTTTTCTTTTTCTCTTCTTCTTTTTGTCTTATCATTGTTGTTACTGTCGTTGTGCTTTTTACAATAAAAACGCAGAAGATCAAGTAAACCTTGTACTTTTTCTGAATCATTCATATCTTATCAATATGAAATAGAAGGTTCTTTAAGCAAATGACTAATATATGAAGACGTACGTTGTTATGTATCGTTATCTGACAGTTCTCTTTTCTTCTTCTTCTTTTTTAATGGGCAGTCCAAAGAATGATGAAAGGAAAAAAAAGTCTGGTCCCTATGAGGATCGAACTCATGACCTCCGCGTTATTAGCACGGCGCTCTAACCGGCTGAGCTAAGGGACCGTTGTAATTTGAGACAAAAAATAATTGATGAACATTGATAATCCTTATGATGATCAAGAAAAAAAATTCATATTCTATCTGAATATTAACATTGAGTTTAAAAGCAATCATTTTAAAAATATCAAACATAAATTTATTATTCTTCTTGATAAAATTTTCAAATTTACAAAAAAAATTCCCAATAGAAATGCACTGACTTTTCCTTTATGTGAGCATCACGTGTTGTATTCATGCTTCTATACTTTCGAAGGTTAAGAATAGTCACTTAAGTTTCACCCTCGTTTGAAATTCCATTTCATACCAGGAATATATTCAAACAGCTTGAAATTTTAAAAATATGCTAGAAATGCAATAGAAAGACTATTTCATATTTCTCTGTCGACCCTCATTCTCTATATATTTAATGGATTCTTTTTTTTTTTGAAAAAAACATGTCAAGATGCAAGACATGGCATATCTCTTGTTTTTTAATTCTTAATTTTTATGTGGAGAACACGCTTAACAATTTCGATATCTAAAAACAAATCTCTAAAAACCAATGATCATCTTTCTATAGAAGTATCTACATATATAATAAAATATACTTTTTGAAACAAAATATATTTTCAATGAAGTTCGTTTAACAGTCTCGGTTTGTATGATAATAAAAACATTTGATCGCATAGCACTCCGCTGTGTATGCGCACAGTAAAATCAATCTTTATATTATGTTTTAACACTAATGAAGAGAACATATAATAGGAATGTAAACCTAAGTAGGCCAAGATAGTTTGAACATTTTTCAAATCGCTTCCAACCGAAATAATAAATCGAATGAACTTCTTGAAAAGAGTTCATGTCCTTAGTTTATTGCTGCAGAGATACTACACTTTTACGGTAATTTATCAAGGTATATTGTAAGCACTCTAGAGAATCAGTTTTTCTGATGTTTCTGGAGAAGATCTGGGCATTCATTTAAAAATTACAGTATCTCCAATCTTTTTCTTCTGATTCTGCATATGATATTGGTTTTATTTGTAAGAAAAATTCTGATGGTCAACATGTCTGAATACGAACTGATATCTATAGCATTTTATCAATCGATTTTCTCGAACAATATTTTTCAAAAGACATACGTAGATGTTCTTCTAACAATTTGACTAGTAAAATAAAAAATCGAGCGTAACTAGACTTGATGAGCTCTATTGAACCATGACAAAAAGATTTTACTTTAATTTCGAATTACGAACATCTTATTCAAATTAAATTCTTCATTGGTCTTTTTTGAAGACACTTTCATTTATTTATTTTTTGTTTTTCAATTCAGCCATAAACAATAATATGATTATACAAATAAAAAAGAAAAAAAGAAAGTTGAACTGTTGAATTCAAGTGGACGGATAATACATCGAAACAAAAGAAAAACCGGCAATGAATACAAAAACAAAAAACCATCAATCATGGATTACACCTGAGACAAAACAAGAAGACATTTATTTATATATATATATATATATATCTACCAATAATCTATCAAGAAGAAGACGTAATTCAATGAATAAGAATCTATCGTATGAGAGGAATAAAATATATATAATTTAATAACAAAACAAGAATGAAAAGTGCACAACAAAATTATTTTCCTGTTTTTTTATTTTGTTGTTGTTGTGATTGTGTAGTAAATAGTTTTAAACTATGACGTACAAATTTTTTAATTCCACTATGTGTTGGTGTTTGTTGTTGTTGTTGTTGCTGCTGCTGCTGTTGTTGTTGTTGTTGTGGCCATGTTAATTCATCATCATCATCATCATCATTATCTTCTTGTTGTTCATTAATAATTGTTCGTGCTGTTGCATAATGTATTGTTTGATGATTATCAGAAGTTTTTAATTTAGTACGATTATGATCAGGTAATGTACTTGTTTTTTGTTCAAATTGTCTTGCTAATGCACGAACATTTGGTTGTTGATGTTGTTTTTCTTCCATATCTTGTTCACATAATATTATTGTACCATCATCATTATCATCGATACCACTATTTATATCTGATTTTTGTTCTTGTCGATCATCATGTCGTTGTACAGCTAACATAATATCATCTTCACTACGATACATTTTCATTTTAAAATTTTTATGTGTTGGACGTTGAAATTTATGTGTACGTGGGGATAATATTGTTGGTGTTGTAGAATTTTGACTAGCTAATAATATAGTTGATGCTGATTTTGGTCGACGATCATTATCAAGTGTTGTATGACAATGTGGAGCTAATGGTGCAATTGGTTTTGGTATTGTTGGTGTCATATGTAAACATTCAGTTGATTTTCTTAATGGTGTATAATTATTTTCTGATGCTTTAGATTTTGTTAATGTTGATGATAATGAAGAATCATAGATAATTGTACGATTATTTGTTGGACGTATTGGTGTTAATGATGAATTTGAAGACATTGTTGAATAGATTGATGTTGATGTTGATGAAGATGAACTTAATGAATCTAAACAATCTTGAGCCATTTGAGATAAAAGACGATCTAATTCAAATACATGCATATCAATTGTTGTATCTGGCCTAGATTTTATTTTAAATAAATATTAATTTTTCAATGAAACAACAAGATTTAACTTACACTCCTTGACTTTTCATAGCATGTGTCATTTTTTCAAATAATTCACGACGAATTTCTTTAATCATTGAATTACGACTTCGAGTTAATTCATTTTGGATTTGTTTTTTTATAGAAATTTCTAGATTGTCCATATAATGAGCTATTCCCACTTAAAAGAAAATAAATATAAATTAGTTAATATTCTATGAAAAATTTTCATCAATAATATTAAGATGCATTAGCAATGTACGAAATAAAGATTTTTCGAGTTTGCACTCTATGCATAAAGTAGCTCACAATGAGATATTACAAATCTCCCAAGGATAAGTTCAAAACAGACGATTGTGCGCTCATAATTTATCTAACTATTATCTGTCATTAACAAAGATTTCTTATTTTGTCAGCTAGTAATGACGTACTAACATGATATCAATTAAAGATTTGTCATATCTTTGTATTTTCTAGTTCTTTCTAAATCAAGAATTTCAATTACTAAAAAAGCTCGTCCATCTGATAAAACAGTTGAAGAGTTTCTAATGAGTAAGTTTTACTCAACTCTCACGATCTCAAGCAGACAAGACGAAGTTTTAGCATCAAAATGCCAACCATTAACTACCGAGTACATGTAATCAATATGCTCAAATGAACTTGAAGACTCGTAAACATAATAAATACATTTGGTTTTGTCTTTTATGTCAAAAAATCTTCTTTCGTACATTTCTATTAGTTCTAATAATATACCTCGATGATGAACATCAAAAATCATCTTGCATGTGAGTCGTAAGAGAGCAAGCATTTCAATTGTAAATAATTCTAGAATGGATGCAGCAAATAAATAATATATACATGCAAATATACATATACATAATTAATAAACTTAACTTCATGCGATAGATATAAACAAACTTTTTTTTTTTTTTCGTTATTATGAAAATAGCATACAGCAAATAGTTTGAATGTCGAGCATAAAATATGTGCATGCATTCTTTTGATTGATTTATTTTTTTCTATATCTACCTCTCTCTTACTTGAACAATCGATGAACTCTTTTTCAATATAGGATTGTTACCTCGTAATTTTTCTACAGTTGCCATATAATCTGATTTAACATCATTTAATGATAAATCTGTCTAAAAAATTTTTTAAAAAATATTCATAAATTATGCTAGAATAGAAAAACAAAAATAAATACTTGAACATATTCTGGTACACATATTGGTCGTGTTGTTAAACGTTTTTGAGAAGATAAACGTTCTTGATGAAGTTCACGTTTTATTTCATCCATTGCTTTTGTATGTTGTTTTATCATATCAGCTATTTTCTTTTGTAACGAAGAGATTGTTTGTTGATATTCATTTTCTTGTTTAGCATGTAATGCTCGTTCTTGATTCAACCTATTAAACAAAAAAAAAAAAAGAAGATATTTCTGTGGGACTAATATGTAAAACACAATTTAGGTACAGTTGCTAATCAGTAGTTCATATATTATAACGAGATGTTATTGATATACGGTCTTTATTGTTTTTGAAAAATGAATATTTCAAGACAAAAACAAGTTGCGAATCAACCACAGTACAATCAATGGAGCTGAAACTTTCTTCTACTTATATTAGAAAGTGTTTAGGGTGTCTAGTTTATTTTAATTTCAAAACTTTCTGATGTTTCGTTCTTCAAAAGAGTCTAACACGGGAATTCAAATTATTATATTTCTAGTAATCATTTTCAACATACGTATCATTTGATTGTTCAAGTAATTTAACAAGATGATCAACACGATTTTGTAAATTTTCTTGTCTATTTCTATTATCTTGTTCTAAAGTATATTTTTCTTTAAGTTTTGTAATATCATCAAAATGATTTTTTTTTAATTGTTCAATTGTTTGTTGTGATTCATTGAGTTGTTGTTTTAATTGTTCATAACGTGTTTGTAAACGTGTTTGTTCATGTTGAAATTCATTAATAACATTATTATAACCATCATCTAAATCTTTTTTCATAATTTGCATTTGTTTTTGATGTGTATCAATAAGTTTCGCTTGATTTTGACTTAATTCAATATTTTCACGATATAATCGATCAATTTCAGTTCGATACATTTTTTTAACTTCTTCAATATCTTGTACTGATGTATTTGTTTGAATCATAGGTATAGTAGATTTTTGTTTTTCAAATTCACTTGTTAATTGTTGCCGTAATTGATTTAAATCATGTTGATGTTGTTTATAATCACGTTCATAACGTCGATTATATTCTTGTTCGAGACTTAATTTTATTTTCTCAATTTCTTGTTCTAAATGTGAATCAGCTAAATTAAGTGCACGATTTGCTTCTTGTAAACGTTGTTCAAATTCGATTTTTTCTGTTTCAAGTGATAAAAGTTTTTCACGATAGTTTATTTCTTTTTCCTATTTTGAAAAGAAAAAAAGGTAAACATTTTAAGTAGGAAACCTTTTCAGCTTTTAAATCGCATTTTTCAACAAAAAGCTTTCAATTACCGAATATTTCAGAATAGGAGATACTAGAAAATTCACAACTTATACAATGAATTAATTTTAATTTGAATGTTGACTTGGCGGCATGTGGCCATAGGTTTTTGTTGAAAAATCCACTAAAATTGATTTTTCTATTACTCATCAAATGAACATCGTGCCGATGAGACTAAGAAAAGTTTAAAAGGATTCGGGACGATGGTCTACTAATGAATAGTTATGGTTGTTGAAATTTTGAGAATCATTTAATGGCTATCAAACGCGTCTAACGAGGTCACATATGTAAGTGTAAAATCGCTTTTGAGTCGGGACTATATGCATCATGTAGGCGTTAGTGAGACTAGAAAAAGCCCAAAAGAACAAGGGCTGCTAGGTCTATCTTTCCGAATTATGACCGTTTTATTGAATTTTTTACCCTATGCAAGGTACTTCGAGGCAAATCGAAAGAAGGAATTTTGAGCTGAAATTTTGCCCNCCTAGCAGCCCTTGTTCTTTTGGGCTTCTTCTAGACTCACTAACGCCTACATGATGCGCATAGTCTTGACTCAAAAGCGATTTTACACTTACATATGTTACCTCGTAAGATCAAAACTTCGCATCCACTTTAACTTATCTTACTGTCTCGCCAGGACGTAATCATATTCATTAACATAATACCGAACGGCGTCTGACAGTTGCATATGAACTCTTTCAAAGTAGATCGAAATTTGTTACTGAATTTTCGCTTTAGGAAGTTCGTTTTTTCGATTTGCGACTTTATTTGATATATGAAAATTTCAAGGTATATACTGTAAGGTGCGGGTGGAGAAAATATGCATGCAAAAGATGAAAACATAAATTGAATTTCTCGTAGTTTTTTTTTTTTATCTAGCTTATTTGTTGGAATATTTCTAATGCATGAAAATATTACTTGTATATCCCTTGATCTTGTTTGATTTAATTCTAAAATTTGTTGTTCATATTGTTGAATTTGTTTTTGTAAATTATTAATTGTTGTGTCATGTTGTAATGAACGTTCTTTATAAATTTGTAGATTATTTTCTATTTCATCATAATTTAATTTCATTTGATTAAATTCATTTTCTTTATTAACTAACATTTCTTTTGTTAATCTTAAATCCATTTTATTTGTATCACGTTGTTGTGTTATTTTTTGTAAATTATTTTCTAATTTTAATCGATATTCTTCATATTGACTAACAGCATTTTCATAATTATGTATACGTGTTTGTAATGCTTCAAGATTTTGTTTTAAATCAATCTGTATTTCATCTGTTTGTTTTGATGAATAATTTAATTCATGTTTTTGTTTTTCAATTAATTCATTTAATTGTATAATTTCATTTGATAATTTTTCTTCAGTTTTTTCAAATATTTCTTTTAAATGAATTTTTTCTTGATCAATTTGTTCAATTGTTTGTAATAAATTTTGATTTTCATCTTCAAGTGTTTTACAATTGTTTATTAATTCTTTTTGTTTTAGATTCAAATCAGAATAATCATGCTTAAGTTGTTCAAATTCTTTTTCAATATAAATTAAACGATCTTTTGCATCGTCTAAATGAAAAAAAAATAAATAAATTGTTAGTGAAATATGAAAATCAAAGACTATCGATTGAAACATTATATAAACTTACCATTAACTCTAAGTCGATCAAGTTCAATATTTAATTCATTAATCATTTTTTCATGATTAATTTTCATTCGTTCAATATCTTGATTTAATTCTTTTGCTTGTTGTTCTAAATCTTGATTATATTTTGTTTTAAGTATTTGATTATCTTGTTCAAAATTATTTTTATAATATAACATTTTATCATTATATTCTTTTTCAAGTGTTCGACGTAAATCATCTAATTTTATTTTTATTTCATGTTCAAATTTAGCTCGAAGATTATCTTCAATTGAATTCTTTTCTTGACAAACATCTTCAAAAAAGAAACCAATTCAAAAATAAATTTTAATTATTATATTAAAAGTGTTAATGAAATTCGTAAAAAAATAAAAATGTGAAACACGATCTAGCTGCTAATCATAAGGCGATTGTTTTTATTCTATCTAGTTTTGAGTCACGTTTTATTACTATGTTTAATCTTTCAGAAAACATTAAGATATGTAAACAATATAAACATGAAAAAAGTTCGACAAGGTTTTCTGACAAGCACTAACGAAGGAAACAAAGACCTTTATGCGATTAAATAACCGATAGGTTAGACTATATACTGTCGTATTGAAGTCATTAAAAATGGTAGCATGCTGACTATGTTGTATAGCTAGTAATTGTCGTATGAAACGCACTAGTCTATTGAATTTCCCAGCATCCCATAGCGTTTTGTAGGAATATTCTTCAAGGTATGGTCTGTGTAGGCATTCAAATTTTTATCACTATACTTCATTACTCCTTGTAGATCGTGTTTCACAATAACGAAAATTGACTTCATACCTATATAAAGTTGTTTTGTTTTATCTAAATCAACAATATCTTCACGTAATTGTTCAATAATTGTATGTAATTCATGTTTTTCATAATCATATTTTTCTTGTAAATCTGAATAATTTTTTTTGAATTGTTCAATTTCTTTTGTTAAACTATGCATTTGTTCCATATGAATACTATTTGTAATAATTGTTTCATCACAATTAATTGTATCTTTATGTGTTAATTCATGAATTTGACGTTGTAATTCTTCATTAATTTGAATAAGATTTTTTTCATTCGATGCAAATTCATCAATACGTTCTTTTAAATGATGATTTTCGCTTATTAAAGATTCATTTGGATTATCAAAACTTGTCGAATTATGTGGAACAACTTGTCGATTAATACTAAATCAAAAAAAAAATTAAAATAGAAAATAATTATTTTTTTGTTTTGTCAAACCTTGATAATTCATTAACAGAAATACTTGATATACCAAATAAATCTTTATCAACTTCATGTTCTGTTATACCAAGACGTTCACGTAATGTTCGAATTTCAGACTGTAAATCAAATAGAAATAAAAATCAATTATAGGAAATCAAAATATTATTAAGAACATCGTGTATTTTGTTCGGGTCTCTATACTGAAAAAAAACATCATCAGTTTATGCAATGATGGGATTTTCTTCGCGCATGTCATCTACATTAATAACGTTCGTTTTGCTTAGATGAATATCAACAACAACAATTGTAGCAGTAATATTAAATGAACTATATTTAAATATTGTTCAAACTTTTAAGATTTTGTTGTATAGCGATATGAGTAAAAATATGCAATGTTGCAATCGTTCTAACTAATTCGATATAACCTACCCATGTAGTAGTTATCATTATGCTAGATCAATGTTATCATTCCCTTTCTACTGTGTCAGCGTTCTTTTTTTTCTTTCGTTCGTTTTGTTATCTCAGATACTAGTGTCATTTGTCTCATTTTTTTTTTGATGGAATGGAGGAAAAAAACAGAACAAATCGAAAAAGTAACTCAGAATATGTGATTTATATGACGATTAGAAACATCATTGGAAATGTTTTTTTTTAATTTAATCCTTCGTTTTGTTTTAAACTATATCGCAAATTGATTCATTGTCTTATATAAAGTCTAATAGATGATTTTTTCTTCATTGTGTCAACTTATGTTATCTTATCAAAGATCATTCTATTCGATTGCTAACTTTATCTTATAATATCGTAAATATGAGAATGGAATATTTTAAAGTTTTTCTTCTGTTTGAGCCATACCAGTATTTCATTGACGGATGTGATTTTTGGTAAATGAGAGAGAAAGCGCAATTAACGAAAGGTTAAAGGGAACGAGTCATTCCATAAGAAAAATCTTCTCACGTAATAAAAAAAACTTACTAAATTAGAGCTTGTGCATTGCTTAATGGACTACTAGATTATGAGTGGTCCTGGAAGAATATAAGAATAAGCTGTTATCTAGTGGATTTTCCCTTTAGGACTCGCATTCTGCAGCAAAATCTTAGAATTGAGATGTTCCAAATTTGTGTCACTTTTCATACAAATTAGTCTAACTGATGAGGAAACCACTAGATAACAGCTTATTCTTATATTCNATGGCTTTATCGTGTTTCACATTTTAATACAATAAAGATTTTACTGAGCACGTTTTGCTTACCATCGGAAAAAGAACAAGTGGCAATAATGAAGTAACCGGCAAAGGTATTACTTCCGAAATCCAGTACACGGAAAGAATGAGCACAATATAACCACATTTCTCATTAAACATACTTCTATCAACATTTTCGCTGTCGACATTTCGACACCTCGCCTTGTAATTTATTTTGCAAAAATTCTATATAAATAATCGTCTTAATGTAATAAATAGAAGAAGCCGTCATCTAGACAGAAGAATTTAGCTACCACGATCCATAGTATATGCTCTCTATTAGTTGATTAGATCACAACAATGTCAGTAGTAACTTGGTTAAAACAAAGATGGTGTTTATTGTTACTTATTCTAATACCAGTGATCCTACTTCCATTACCTATTATTATCAATAATTCCGTATGTTAATCAATGTGTTTTGAATAACCTAAAGTATATTCACATCCGTACTTGTTTTAATAGCAAGCGAAATGTGGTTATATTGTGCTCATTCTTTCCGTGTACTGGATTTCGGAAGTAATACCTTTGCCGGTTACTTCATTATTGCCACTTGTTCTTTTTCCGATGGTAAGCAAAACGTGCTCAGTAAAATCTTTATTGTATTAAAATGTGAAACACGATAAAGCCATTTCAATCTTAATCGAGAAATCTCTCTTAATCTATCTTACAATGGGAGATCACGCACTGCAAACTAAGGAGATTGACCATATTTGTGTTAAATGAAAGTTCTTACCATCAAACTAACAAATTTAAAATATTATGTTCCCATAGCGTATCTAGAGCAAGTTATTTAAATTTCAAGGGATGTGAAATTTAGGAATAAAAATAAATCAGGAAAGGTGTTTTTCACTATTGTAAGGGCATAGCATAGTGTCGTTCAGGCTGATTAGGAGTTAGGAGGATCCTCTTTCATATGGCCCGAATAGAACTATGTTTTGTCCTTACAGTAGTGAAGAAAACCTTTTCTGATTCATTTTTATTCCTGAATTTCACATACCTTGAAATTTAAATAACTTGCTCTAGGTACGCTATGGGAACATAATATTATAAATTTGTTCGTTTGATGGTAAGAGCCTTCATTTGATTCGAATATGGTCAATGTTCTTAACTTACAGTACGCGATCGTCCAATGTCAGTCTCTAACAGAATCAACAAGTACCATCTCGAAATGTTTTACATATTGTTTACAACTGAATCGAAGTACCTGACATTTCTCGTTATATACTTCAAGACTCAGTAAAAATCATGTTTCACAAAAGCAGGATATTTTGTTCGGCTTGTAATATTGACATTGTTTTTTTTTAGACTGGTGTTCTACCTGCGGAAGTCGTCGCACCTCATTATTTCAAAGATATCATTGCACTTTTTTTTGGTAGTATGGCATTTAGTTATGCTGTTGAATTGGTCAACCTTCATCGACGTATTGCTCTATTCGTATTGAGTCGGGTTGGCACTGCAACTAAATGGTATAGAATAATTTGATGAATTCATTCAACGATGATATTATTGAATCGAAGAGGCAATCAATCATTTCTGTTGAGAAGCTTTTTTCTCTAAATTGATCCCATCCTTATTAGGAAAATGGAAACAGCGTGTGCAGGAGTAACTGATTTTTTGTATCTAGTTGATTTCTTATAGTCAAACTTTTCAAGTTTACCCAATTCTTATATATTGAATCCTTGTAATGAATAATTAGGATTATGGCTGGTATCATGGTAGTAACGGCGTTTCTTTCAATGTGGATGAACAATATTGCATCGACATCAATTATGTTGCCTGTAGTATTAGCCCTTGTCGATGAGCTCGAGATTTACAGCGAAAACTCTCACAATCGACAACAAGGAAACATACAGACAGTATATTTTATAAATGGTATAAGATTGCTCAATAGTTACCTATAGTTTTCTATGCGCACAACTGTATTTAGGTGCATTCGATTCCACAAATATGGAAGAGTCTGACGAAAATGAAACTGATGAGGTCTCTCGTACTATTCAAAGCATTGAGCAACCGTAAGTATACGATATTGGATATTTTCGTAATCTACGATTTTCTTTTCCTGCAATAGAAAACTAGAAACGCCTGTAGTAGTAAATACTCGCTTGAAATTACTATGCTGTAAACGGCAACAAGTTGAACTCAGCAATATATACAAGAAAAAATATGATCAATTGAAGAAAGGTGATCTTCTTTCCTATTCGTTATCTAGAATTGTCTATTTTAATGTATATGTTTATATAGGGTTCCTTCTTGCCGTAGCCTATTCATCATCTATCGGTGGGCTATCTAGTTTAGTTGGTACGTCACCCAATATTTATCTGAAAGGTTTTGTTGACGGGTAAATCGAGCGAATAGAAATATTAACTGAGAATGTCTCATATGTAACATAGTAAATACGCTGGTACTAACTTTCGCATAAACTTCCTCAATTTTCTACTCTTTTCTCTGCCTGCTGGAACATTAATGCTTGTATTCTGTTGGGTATGGTTGCAACTGCGCTATAACAAAACAGAGTGCGTATGCGTAATTTGTGATATCACATATTCTGTTCTAAAAAAAAAAGAGAACGTTGACTTATCTAATTATTTTAAGACTCTTCCAATTTCGACCATCTGATGAAGCACGTGAAGTTCAAGATAATTTGAAAGCAATGCTAACAAAACAATATAGAGATCTTGGACGACCTAAGTGAATAATTTGATAAAAGAGAAGAATTTTCGTGTACATGTTTCTACTCTACTTTTTAGATGGAGTGAACTCACTGTAACTGTCATATTTGCACTTATGGTTGTTCTATGGACAACAAGAGAATTTTCCGATACAATAGGATGGAGCATGATATTTCAACGCAAGTATTTACATAGTTCCCTTTTGCAACGAAAATTGAATTTAAGAAGAACATGTTTTTTTTTCTAGATACGTCAGTGATAGTACTGTAGCTATTTTCTGTGGAATACTTCCATTAATTTTACCAGACAGCAATCCATTTAATCGTAGGATATTTTTGCAATTAGAAGTAAAAATATATGTATATTGATGAATATTTTCCTTGATAAGGTCAACACGACTGGAGGTACCAGCCTATAATGAAATGGGATAATTTAGTGCAGCATGTTTCATGGGGATCAATAATCCTACTTGGTGCTGGGCTTGCAATAGCCACTGCTTTTGAAGTACGTTGAAGTGAATAGATTCGTGTAATACACAGATGCCATTAAATTTTAAGCAATCAAAATTGTCGAAGAGTGTGGCACAAGCTCTAAGTTTTGTATCCACTGTACCACGAGCTGTAGCTATTATGATCATTATTGTTATCAGCGGTCTGTTCACCGAAGTGACATCCAATTTAAGTACGGCAACCATCTTTTTCCCCGTACTCGACTCTGTCGTAAGTGAAATAATAACTTCTTTCTATCAAATATATGTATACCTTGAAATCAAAATAGATTTGATATAAAAAAATTCACATGTCAGAATAAATTTTTTTTTCGAATACCTATATATTGGTCTTTTGGAATCTAATTGACAATATTGATGTTAAATTTTTTCTATTTCCATAATATATTCAAATAATAGGCAACTTCATCTGGTATTCATCCAGCTTTTCTTCTTCTACCATGCACATTAGCTGTCTCTTTAGCTTTTATGTTGCCCATATGTAAGTATCGACATTAGATGTTATATGACAGCACTTAACTTTCCTTTCATACAGCTACGGCACCAAATGCTATCGTTTTTGCTAGTGGTGCTATTAGAGTCGTCGATATGGTGAGTTTAATAATGTTTTCAGTCGCCTATCAAAATCAATTGAAAATTTTCTAGATAAAAACAGGTATAGGAATGAATTTCGTCGGTTTTTTGGTCATCTTTTTGGCTGCCAACACATGGATGCCAAAAGTATTCAACCTAAACGATCAAACAGTGGCATATTTCTTCAACGTGAGCTTGGCCGCTCATACTCGTACTCCTAATATTTAGTTTTTTTTGTCAATGAAATAGACTACATACATAGTAGGTATTAACCTAGATTACGTGTTCGATTTTATAACGCAACAAAACAATGCTCTTATCCGTTTTGATAGATTAGAAAAAAGAATGAAGACTTCATCAGATAATATCAAGAAATAGTAGAAATGGGCGTCGGTGTATGTGTGAAGCAAGAGAACACCTATGTCCACAGTCTCAAGCAGCTAAATTGTTTGATTGGCAAAAACAATCGCCCGAATTCCACTTGATTTCATTTTTTCATACAATCTAACAGGATTAACAAGATTGTTTGCTCAAGTCGAATATGACGACAGACATGATCCATGTGAGATTGACGAATTGATTCGTACTTAATTGAATAATTCTCATAGCTTAATAAAATATTATCGATCTAACCGGTTATGTTACAAAACAATTATAGAATTTCAAGAGTTCAGAAATAATCAAAGATACTAAGTACATAGAAGACTTCAATCAGAAACTAATCGAGAAAGAAAGGCATGTTTATCTCAAGAGTGTAAGCAAGGTCTATGTCTGATTGATTACTGATGCCACCTGCACCCCCATGGTCTTGAGAATGATTTGGCTAATATATCGTGAGCAATGCAAACGCCTATTCAAAATCTGTCCATTTTTGCTTTTCTTGGATACTGCGAAAATGATATTGCGAACTGTATTATGATTCACAATTACAGTATGGTTCTTCTTCCACTATATAGATATATTTATGCTTTATTCTTCTTCTTGTCGACATAAGACAAAAACATGAGTTTCATGTTCGATATACGGATTCATATAGATCTTGTTAGTTCAAGAGACATCCGAAGGTTTTTCCGCAAAGTCTATGCATATATGAAATAGTTTTTGGTACAAAATGTGAAAGAATATTAGCTGCCTTGAAATAGCAACCATTCGTCGAAGTATGTCTTAGAGATCTGTTCACGTGAGTCAATAATTCACTCAGATGCCTAATGCAAAAACCGGCCTGTATTTTGATCTTCTCGATTTCGGAAGAAAATATTTCATTGATGCTAAACAATTTACTTTAGTGATTGGTCGTATTAACCACATGTTTAACGAATCGCTAGTTACTTTGAGAAAAAAATCGAACAGCAATAAAGGATTGAACACTTGTTTATCTTTGAAATTGACGTTGCCAATAAAAACTTATTGAAAAAAATGATACCGACAATTGTATAGAGAGGAAGAAGTGTTCTATTGAATGAACATAAAACAAATTGATTGAAGAATATCCAAATGTCTGTAAAAAAAAAGCGATTTCATTCGATTTAATATGTGCCAATCTTTAACTAATGCACTTCTGTGTTATAAAAATTGAAATGTTTTCCGCTAATACTGTGATTAACTATATAGTTCTCAGTAATCGCTTTTTGTAGAATGTATCAACGCTTTAATATTGAATTTGTTGTATTTATGCTATCAGACGGTATTGTAAAGTGGTGTGCTTCTTCTTTATATGCCATTGAACAGTTTGACTCATGTCAATTACCATCCATGAAAACGACACTTCTTGCGATTTTGTTTTCGAAATAATGAATAGATTAAGATTTTTATTCGAAAAACTACAATTAGTGCCCTAAGACTTCCAATAACCAAAATATTTGATCTCGTCAAAGTTGTAGTTACTCTAAAGGTGGTAAAGTTTCCGATATTCAGTAATCTCTGTACGTGTTGAATTCCAAGAACATGACCATTGGTTTATATACTTGCCATCATACTCAGATTCGTGGCACAAGATGCGATGCTGAGGTTAACCAGCACAGCAGAATTACTGTTACACATACGTTCTCCGCTAAAACACTCTACATAAGAACCAAGAATAAAATTGCCTAAATTAACAGATGTCATATTAGTGCCAGGTCCTTACCACAACTGAGCAAAAAAAGATGCATTGATATTGTATACTATAAATGTCTCATGAAAAACCAAAATATTGTTTGGATCTGCTACCATGTGTCATTAAAAAAACCTACAAACAATCTCAAAATTTGTGCACGAGTAACTGAAATTATTGTTGTTATTAAAGGTAACGAATAATTCATTTCATCCGATAAATGAAGAGCATATATCGATGTCAATGAGCTGAATAACAATAAAGTGAATATCATTATCTATGAGTGTGAGCGTTATGGGCGTAGTTGTTGATGTGAACAGAAGATCCCCACTCACACCACATATTCTATACCTAGAGCTGCTTTACGTGCATAAATTGATGGATAGCGAAATGCACAATAAAACAGAAAGGTCCTAAAAGGGGTTTATACAACCGAAAAATGTTTTCACAACTTTACGGACTGAAGTAAGATAAAGCAAAACAAACGTGTTGAGTGATAGAAGTGAAGAGTGACCAATAAAAGCACTAAAACTATTCGGGAAAGACAATAAAAACTTAGAAACCTATCGCCAAAACTTCGGCTTAAAGCGTTCTTCTTTGCTTTCTCTCGCAAAAGTAAATAATCCAATATTATTTAAAAGATGGAAAAAGTGCAAAGACAACTATTAGCTTTCATTATATTTAATCCATTCTGAAAATATTAGTTAGCCAAGTAGGAATCCGAATATTATCGAACAGACCGTATAACATCAAATATATAACGCCAATATCCTGTCATATACTTATGAAGTTCTTGTCAGTATATTGAAGCAGAGTATACTCTAATCATTTTAGACTTACCGTAGCTTACAAGTCAAGTTCGACTAACTTTCATAGATAGTTCCGCTAATTTACAAACTTAAAGAATCAAATGGTCATTAGACTAATAACTAGCCGCAGTGTCGTAACCAAGACCATGACCTTTTTGATCAAAAAACGTGACATAAAAACTCGGATGAAGTAAATTCAAACAATTCAGATAAGTTGAGGTAGTCATTGCTACTAGCTCGAATACTTATTTGAGTAGAAAACCTGCAGGATTCCTGACAAGCAGCTTCCTATTTTGCATCGCTTATTACTCTTGAATGATAATAAATATTGCAGAAAAGTTTGTTTTTACAGATTCGAAGAATAGATGATCTCATCTTGTTCGAGATAAATGAAGAGAGCATTACTAATGAACTATTCAAAACGAAGCTCAAATTAAACCCTGATATAAGGTTGGAAGATCAGAGTGTCAATAATTTGAGTCTTATTTCATGCTTCGATCCTTTTCGCAACGTACTCGTATTGATCTATTTACATAAGCACTGTTTTGATGATCTCTTATATAACAGATTACTGCCTTCGTATTAGTCTCCACACAATAAACACTCAACGGCATTTTATAAGACAATGCAATGATAATCGTTATTGCTCCATCTAGGAGTTCAATGGCAATTAAGTTTCGCATGAAGAATATTAATTTTTGAACTGTAGTCGGTCAATATCGATAAATACTCAGTTAGGTTGTGTTTGATTATGACGTCTATGCATTTTTTATATAACTGTAAGCTTTCGTTGTGCATATATGTTTCTGCATAATGCATAGCCGTTTTTTCATAACAAATAGCGATAAAGAAATATTTATCATGAAAATCGATATTGGAATTATTTTCATATACTGCCACGACTCTCATGTAATATCGGATGGAGGAATCGAGGTCTAAAAGAGAAAAAAATAAAAATAAAATTTGTCAACGTATCATGAGGAAACGAAATGTGACTATATTTCCTTACTATACAACATAATCGTGATTACAATACGTCTTAGTATTCAGTTTCAAGTCACTCGTTCTTAATAGAGATCTAGGGATACGTTGAAAAATTCGAAAAAAGGCTCGTGTCGTATTACTTTTGGATATTCAGACTGAGTGAATCATTCTCTTTGGTAGATAATTACACGGCATCTTTTAGTAAAAAGCTGACGCTTGAAAATTGTCATGGAAAGAATTTACAATTTAAGTAGATAGAGACTCATTTATTCTGCAACACCCGATAGCATACCTGATTGATGTTCATGTTGAAGAGCGAATTTGTAATAAAGTATGAAAAGGTCTTCGAAACAATGTGATCGATATTCTAGAAAGATATTAAGCAAATATTCATGTATTTCAATATCAAATGTCACATATTCGTGTCTTGTGGCATATTAAGTGGAAGAGAAGACCTAAACTCACAACAACGCCTACGCCCCCATATCCACATCCACACTCTGCTCAACTGACTCGTGTTGCTCGGAGAAGCGAAGGGACGACTACTGGCATCATTTTTTTTCAATAGGTGACTATTGACTGATCATTTTATCTCATTTAAAACCTTTTTTTGCACCTAAAACGGAAAGACGACAAAATTCTAAGAAAAAACTAAACTCCGGTTTAATATTTGGTAATATAAGTTGGATTTGAATTTTTTGCGTCAAATATTGGTTTATTTTTGCAGAGAAAAAGGAAGAAAATATTTCGTTTTCTTTTTCATTATAAACCGGCAATAGAATCTTGTAAATTGATAGCTGAGGATTGTATGATTATAGTAAATAGGTAAAAAGAAATTCTTTTTTAATATGATTTATCTACAAGTTAATGATTCCTTAGGTGAAAATTACTTAAATTATCTTTATTCAAAAAACGATACAAAATATGTAAAAAAAGAAATAGAATTATTTCCTTTCATAAATTGAAACAGTACTGACGAAATACATTTTGTTCAATCTATAACAATTCATAAGGACTTTCTTTCGTCTTAAAGTCCCTATTTTCTCCAAGTATTGTCCCATAAAATGACTGTTTAAATATATAAAAATCATCTGAAAAGCAAACGTTTTTTTTTCTTACTCAAAAACAAACTATAGAGCAAAAGTAGCACGAATAGATGTACAGAGTGAATGTATGGTTATTACAAAGGACAGTTATTTGAAAAAGAGAATCGATATATATTTTATTTCAAGACAACATTCTCAATGACATCTTCATTTATGCCTTAAATTTATTTGAACCCAAGAGTTTAAATTTATTTATTTTTCAACTCAATTTCCTTCATTCAAAAGTATTGTTTCACAAGCAAATAATTATTTCAAGTATTTACTTAAGCAGAGTGCCAAGACAAATATTTAATACTGATTATATCATATTCATTGTAGAAAAAGAAACATTTTCATCATTCATTTATCATACGATCGTCTTTCATCATCGTACCCATAAAAGTTTCTCATGAATGAAGGGATAGATGATTTTGTACTTTCCGTATACCTTAAATAACGCAAAACAGTAGTTTCTTTTATGCAATAATACTTAATGTTGAAGTTTGTTGTAAAATCGTCGATTAATCGCGATTAGACGACAATCTTTTTTATCAAATTCGTGATAAATCTGTAGTTTATTCCATTATTTGAAGTGATCGTCAAAAAGGAGACGATTTTCACGACATCGGATTCCTAAACTATTTCAAATGTTTTTAAGTTGCATATGGAGATTGTATTTTGAAATTCAGCATTAGTTTCCCTTTGAACCTATTTAAAGCTTAAAAATGGACTTGTGAATTTTTTATGATGTATATATTGCACGAAAATTCACAAGAATGGGTTTTTATAAAGAAAAAATTCTAAAATTGACTCTTTTTTGTCTGAGGAAAATATGTTCAGGATATTCAAAAGAGAAGAGAAGCGTAAAATAAATTTTTGTGTTTTGTTGATGATCTATGAAGATAGTGATGGGCATGTTGATATAAATTAATGTTTCATTAATGAAAAAACTAAATAAAGTCAAATTTATTCTCATTTATTAAAAAGTACAAAATCATTTTGGAAGCAGAGGTGTTATTTTATTCAGAAAAGTGTACTGTTGTTGTTTGACTTTCTGGCACCATATATAAAAAGCAGGATGTGCATCAAAAGTAGCAGGAGTTCTGTACGTATTTCTATCTTTTGGTACACCTGTGATTAGAAAGAGTGAATGAATATTTGATAATGTTATATTTTGCGTGTATAGTGACATCTTTTGATTTTTGAATGATTAGGTGTTATTTAAGTTTGCGAATTCTGTAGTTTTAGTTGTTGTCGAGTGAAAATAATCTCGGTAATTATGAAAAATATGTAGATACTTCGCGGATAGCAATAGATATTTTAACCATTTTTCTCTATTGATTGGTTTTATATGATGTATGCTTGACCTTCGATATTAGAAGGATTGATTGTGACATGTCGTATAATCAAACAAGCCTTGAGATTCAAAAAAATTATTTAAGTACAATATGTGATATTCTCTTTAAGAGTTCGTACCACCTAACTCTTAGGAACTCTAAGCTGAACAGAAAATTATAATATGCAATAAAAAGGATTGTGTGTCAGCTGGATTGATTTTTTTTGCCGTGTTTTGTATGACTCATAGATACGAAGTGACAATAACTAGTCGATGATGCATATAATTTGTATGACGTTCCACTTGACATAACAATCCAACTATCGTTCTATTCGTTTGACGATTTTCTCTATATTGCTTATAAATAAACATACATGCAAAAGTATCGTCATTCGTGTCTTCAATTGAATCGACGACATCAATCATGATTTGTACATCGTGCGGTATTGAAATTGAAGAATCATCAACATTTTACAAATGCCGTCAATGTGTGAGCCATTTTGTCTGTAAAGCATGTGTGGAGAAGGAGCACAACCGTGCAAGCAATGCTCATCATACATTAGACAAGGTAAACATAAGACTGTGCCTGAAAAGTCTAATCAAAATAATTTATGTGATCATTTTGTATAGATAAGTACTGAAACAAAGTCGATGGCACCAGTACAATCATCATTGGCGATGAAAGAAAAACCTGTCGAAATTAAAGAAGATCTACGGGTAAAATTAGACGCACTCATATTTTGAAGGAAACCATGAGCATTATCAATCCAAGTGCATTTTTATCTAATATTTCGTTTTCATCAAATTTTACTTTAGTTTTTGTCTAATATTGCATTTTTGAATATTTGAAGAGTCAGATATGCAACTTTTCTCTTTCTTAAGGCATGTACAACACCGATCTTTGCGACCAAAGAATATTTAACAATGTTTTTGGGCTATTGTGATCATTGTTTAAAAGTGCTCACATGTGGAGAAGACATTATCTTCAGTTGTGATCAATGTTCAAATAACTTCTGTGTTTGCAATCAGTGTATCTCTCTCATGCCACATGAACACATATCAATGCATACATTTTCAAAAGAAACATCGCACAGCGAACTTTTACAAGATGCTCATAATTTGCAACATTTAGGCGTAATGTGTGACAACTGTCGACAAGAAAATTTCGATGGGATACGACATCAGTGTGAACAATGTGAGTCTAGCTATGATTTATGTGAAAAATGCATTGACACAACACACAAGCATCACACGTTTAAAATTATCCCAAACTTTTTTCTACGTGCTCACAATAATAGCATACTGGCCAAAAGAGCTCTGGATGCAATTGCAAAAAATACTGATGCTCAGAACCTTATATGGCACGATCCAATTACTGGATGGACAAAGACTGATGCTGAGAATATGATAAAACAAGCTCAAGAAGAACAAGAAGACTATAATATGCAATTAGAAAGTATTTCAGAGCTTGCATTAACTGCCGTGAAGAAAGACCAAGAAATTTAGCAAGAGTTGCACATGATGGAGATAGATAACCTAAACGTCCAGCTTTTACTTTGCAACGACGACGTGCTGTATCATCCATGGGACTTGAAAAAAGTATCAAACATTTTCTAAAGTGAATACGCAAATTTATTGTATTGTAATCAACCTATTTTGTCAAGCCTATTTTTCTTCTCGGTAATTTACGAAAATGATTATTGTCTTTCAAATATTTATAATCCACAATTTATAACTCTAACATAACCTATTGGATGAAAAACTACTAACTTTTCTAATATAATATACAAACAAGCAAATATATTTTAATAAGTTTTTCTTCATATTGATTAATTCTTCTTGTGACAAGTATGGAATTCGATAAAGAAAAAAGAGTATAACTGATAAAGTTTTGATTAAAGTTGTTTCAAAAAAAATATTCTTTGAAAACTATACGAAATTTTTAAATAATAACTAATTTCCAAAAAATAATAACATGTTCTTCAAGGTTACTTGGTTCAATAGAAACAGTTGCTACAAAGCACATAAAGAACATGATTACAATAATGAATATCTAAATGTGATTTCTAATTTATCCATAGCTTCATTTTGTAAATATTCATATATTGTTTGTTTAGTTACAAAATAAGAATGGCGAATATAATTGAACGAGCAAATAAACGATAATCAACTGTATCATGTTGTTTATTATTAAGATTTCGATAGATTTTATCTTGTTCAAACTAGATTAAAAAAACAGTTTTTCTTCTTCTCTCTTACATCTAATCTTTGTCGATATATACAATAAACTGGCAATTGATACTAGCAACATAAAATATAATCTGACAAATATATTTTGCAATACAATAAACTTCTCTCTAAAATATGAAAAATTACTTTTAATATTAATTTCTTTTCCTTATGGACACACGTGCTGTTGCCTGTATAAATTCGAGAAGTATATCTTCAAGTGTGAAATTTTGCTGAAGATTAATATCATATTTAATAAATACATAATTAATACAAGTTGTTATTATTATTGAAAATAAAATAATTATCTTTCTTTTTTACTTTGATCAGGAATTTTCGAAGAACTAAACTCTAAAATAAAGATTCATTAAGTTTTTTTGTCAATGAACTAATCTTTTTTGGTTATTTCAAATTATCAAAAAAATTTAAGATGATGAGAGAAGAAACGTAGATGAAAATAAAAACTATGTAAAACACCCAAAATACTCGTCTTTGATAAAATTAATTTCTAAAAACCGAATAAAAAATTTTTAATTTTTCTATGTTTTACTTATAAATTTTCTTGACATAATTTATTCATTAAAAATGAATTACGGTCAAATAATAAATCAATTAGTATATTAACAAGAATATTTTTAGAATTATAATTTACATGTGAAAAAACAATTTCAACAACTCTATGCATTTCAATTTTAAACTTATCACATAAGACTGTACAGTTGTAAAAAAAAAACTCTCTAGCAGCATGATGTTCTTATTTAGCAGCATAAATATCAATAAATGATGCAATTGATTGTGATAGATATTGTATTATTACAGATGTTAAATTACATAAATAATTTTTCATTAACATTTTTTTATCGACTAAACATCAGAACGAAGAACAACATCATATGCTTCGAAATGATGTGGTATCTTCGTAACTTCATCATATCTTTTGTATATCGAAGAAAATAACTGTTCATAATTCAAAATAAAAATTCTTACTTTAAAAAAAAATCTGAAAATAACTCAACAATTACTTTCTCATGTAATAATTTTAGGATATTTTCTCGATAATTTTCACTCTTACAAATATTTTCATTATGAATATTTTTGCTATTTTAAGAGTTGCTAGAAAGATCAAACTTACAATGAATAATAGTATAGGAATCTTGAATTCTATTGCAAAACTTAAATGAATGATGATAAACTTGAGTTGTTCACATTAACATAAAATGTGTCGCAGTCAGAATGTGGATATTCTTATCATGTGCAATCAGATCCTGATTATACACATAGGGATTTTATATGAGTTTTATCTTCTTGAGAGTAGAATAGGGTATTATTAAAACATCTATCTAGACTAAAGTTAATGTTTAGTCTTCTGTTTTTCAATGACATTAGAGATAATGTCTTAAAAATAAAAAACAAATGAATTAATAAATGTTAAAATGACTTTACAAATGTAAAGATCATAAGAGTAAACAAATGATTGTACTGAAATAAACTAGATACTGTATTGTATTTGCTATAATAGTGTAACCTAGTACAATCTATTCTTGTGTAACGGTTCTCTCTTTGAAGATTTTTCGCCATAGAAGAAAGCGACTACTTGTGTATAATCAACGAATTTTTATACTATAGTCAAATTAACTGTTGAAGTTCAATATACTTCTTTAATATCATTATCAATACTAATCGATGAATTCGTATCATTTCCATACAATCAAAATATTTATAGTCTCAATCTAAATAATACGATTGTTTTCAGTTTGTCTCAAGAGAAAAAAATATTCAAATAAAAAAAATATGAGAAAAGAAAAATTACTTCTTGTTTGTTTTAAATTTTCATTTTTTGTATCAATGGGATTGATAAAGATGATTTCTTTTGTTTATATGGAAATTATATAATTAACTTCTTCTCTAATTAATATGTTAGTTATTTTCTATTGGAAAACATTGTATGTTTTTATTATTTAATGAATACTTTTTTTTAGAAAAAAAAAAAGACATCATTATTAAATAGCATTCCTATAGACATTGAACAGGAAATTATTTTTATAAGGAAATTACAATTGGATTTCCAATGAAAGCATCATTATTTCCTTCATTCTTTTGTATGGAATACTAACATCATCATTTTTATCAATACTCATAAAATAATGAACCAAACTCCCTATGTCTGTTGAAGACAAACAAATTTTCATATTCATACAATACATGAAGAAGACTTTCACACACGTGAATAGTAGCGTAATTAGAATCATATAGAATACAAACGAAAAAAAAAAAAATGAGCTTCATATTTTATGAATGCATGCGTGCATGCATGTATGTGTCTATGACCGGAATCTCGATCTGTTGAACACATAGACCAAATGTATACATTGTGTGCATGCGTTTAGTTTTCAATGACACATTACAAAAGACTGTAGGTAACCGTAGAGCAATTCTCAATATTGACAATGACCTTTGATTACAGACATTTTCTTCTATTAATCATTACCTGACAATCAAGAAAAAGAAGTAAATCCTAAATAAGTTCATATTAAATATACAATTTTGTACTTCTATGATTTTCTTGTCTCTTTTTGTTATAGCCAACCATTTTCTTTCTATCTTCGTTCTTGTCTTCTGTCATGAGATGGATCGAGAGAGAGAGAAAATGAAGGAAAGGGAAATAAATAGATAGCACACCCACCATATACATATACGAGCATCAAAATGATCCACAATCGGAAGTGACACACTTAAAAAAATACTTTTTTCTCTCTCTATATAAATATATATATTAAAGATCGTCTCTCTCTGTCTATCTCTTTCGTCATTATCATTGTTGCGTTTTTTTTCTGTTATTTATTCAACACCAATTCTATTGAATTTAACGGTGAGATAAAAAGAAAGAAGAAAGTAAAAGAATCTTTTATTGCAATAATTATGGCTGATGTTGTTCATCGTATTAGCGAATTAACACATACACGTCTCTCATGGTTTGGTTGTTCGGATGATGATGCATGTAATCGTCTAAATCATCGTCATACTGTATTAATGTTATTAATTTTTTCGGCGATACTTACTTCACGTTTATTTATTTCGGATTTAATTATTTGTTGGACACCTGGTGAATTTACCGGTAAATAAACTTATTAATTAATTCTAGTTAGATAAAATGTAAAAATCATATTGTTTTTATTGGATTTATTGACTGACAATTTAATTGAAGTGAATTCAACTGTTGTTGCTGTCTGAAAGGATAAACAAAGAGTATCTATTTAGACATTAAACAATAGTGTATGACAGGTTTGACACATAGATCAATGATGATTATCATCATCATGACCAAAAAAAGAATAAATCTAAGAACTGACATGACATTTGATAGTATATCTATTTATCTGTCATTGTGAAAATCGCTTAGGGAATACTATGAACTTTCAATGAGATAACTTGATTTTCTTTCAGGAAACTTTGTTTCATATACTCGTCATTATTGTTATGTAACAAATACATATTATATATCAATGAATGAAACAATTCCAACATTAAATAATTCTCATATGCGTCGAAAGCGATCAATTTATTATTATCAATGGTTACCAATATTACTTGCATTTCAATCTTTATTATTTTTAATACCACGTTTAATATGGAGTAGTTTTAGTTCACGTTGTGGAATTAATTTACAACATTGTTTATCGCCTCAATTTGATTATCGAACAAGTCGTTATAAAGTTCATAATATAACAACAATGCTTAATTTATTAGCACGTGCTAAACAACATGATTTTAATCGTATGTCAACAAATGATAATGTAAATAAAAATGGTCTTAGAACAAATATACAATTTTTTAAAACATTTTGTATTCCATTTATATTTTTAAATGAAAATCCATTTCATGGATATTATCTAGCAAATTTATTTCTTATTGTTAAAATACTTTTTTTAATTAATTCATCATTGCAATTATTTTTTTTAAATACATTATTAACTAAAAATTCAATTTTCTATGGATATGAAGTAATTGAAAATTTTCGTCGAGGTGAATATATTGTTGGTTCAAGAATATTTCCATTAAGCGTTTATTGTGATTTTAATATTATTAAAATTGGTCAACCAACAATTTATACAGTAAATAAAATAGTATTTTTTTATTTCTTTTATTTTCGAATAATTTTTTTTCTTGAGGTTCAATGTTTATTACCCATGAATGTATTTAATGAAAAAATTTTTACTATTATTTGGTTTTGGCTAGTTTTTTTAACAATAACAAATTTAAAAAGTGTTGTATTAACAATAATTCGTAATAGTTTTCATCAATTTAATTATGCTTATATAGCTAATTATTTAGATTTATATTCCAAAAAAGAACGTTTTAAAAGACATTTACTCGTTAAACGTTTTATATTTGATTATTTAACAACTGATGGTATATTAATATTAAGATTAATATCAGAAAATATTAGTGATTTATTAACAAGTGAAGTTATTCATGAACTTTGGAATGAATATAAAAAATTATCTAATTTATCATCAACAAATCGTGAAAAATATCAACGATTAAAAACGATAGGTCAAGCATCGACAGATGTTTTGACAACAAATAAAAATATACATTATCGTCATTGATTCAAATAAATGAATCTCAAAATTAAAAGAGCAGAATGCATATCACTATGATGATAGTAATTAAATGTGATGGAAGATTCATTCATGCATACCTTAATCAATACTTTGTTGAAATAACACTATAAATACGTTATATGTCTATAAGGATAATAATTATCTTCATAGAAGAGTGGCAACAACTACACAGAAATTACATTGCTTACGAGAAAATTTTCTCATACATTTCCTTTTGATTTCAATGATTGTTTTATTTGCCTATAGATACTGTATACAGATTGAATCATAAAAATGCTTATGATAAAAAATTTAAATATATCCAATCTGCTCGAAGGTATTAGACTGACTTTTTTCTAAATCCATGATAAAGGAGTGTTCAAAGATTTTTTTTTTCTTTTCATAATAAAATCGTTAATGAACGCTGCTTTCAATTGTTGACATTCACTTCAATATGGTTGTGTAAAATTTTATATCGATATAAAATAACATAAACAGATTCATTTATGCATGCATTCCTTTTCCAATGCGTATACTCGATCGCCTTTGTCGTTCTGTGATTTCGAGGTTAGCTTTTCTTCTATCTCAATAACAACATTACATGCATAGTTTTCTAATACTAATGTGCGTGTGAGGTGTGGGTTTTCTATTCTGTGATGCGCACACCCCAAAACGATAAAATTAATATACAGATGGGAATGAAACTTTTGTCTTCATCGATACAAATTCCATTTGGACACACTGAATTAAGCTGGTAGAAAAAGCTTATTACTTTATTCAAAATTGTGTGATCTTTAAAACGGGATTGTTAGAAAAGAGTTTCGACAAAGTTTTCATTGAGTATTAAAATAATTTTCTGAATTTGAACTAGGTGCTTAATATTATACAGAACGAAATTAAAAACACGTTGTTGTTAAACTTTTCCCGACTACCTTGTACATCTATAGCCCCATGCTATATACTTCTCATAAGAAGATGAATTTTCCAGGTCAACCTAATGTCAAATTAGGAATTATATCACATGAATTGAATGCATAACGATGACTTTTAGCTATACATCATCGAAATGATGCTGCATCCTTGCAGTAATATCTTTAGTTTGTCTCATTCATTGCATAGTGATGCGGCAAAATTTGAATTCTTTAGAAAGGAGAATTTATCATGCTCTCATTGAACAAAGCCTATCAGCTTTTTGATCACATAACACGATTCAATTAATATTCATTCAAAATATGAGGTTCTTGACTTTTTATGATAATCAGCAGCATCGATTAATTTAAAAGAAACCGGTTTGTTATTATTTACATACTTTAAAGATTGAAAACTACAATGTTTCTTATTGAACTCAAATACTTGTAATCAAATGAGAATCTTGGCGGGTGTGGGTGTGGGTAATTTTTGTTTTTTTT